TTTTTAAATATTGAATGCTTATTTAATAGAGAGGATGCCAAGGACAAAATATACACAGTGATCGGATACTTTTAAGACAGACCTAGTTTGTATAAAAATGTAAGAAATTTTCTTGTAATAAATTCTCGAAATCTGTTTTTTTTTTTTAGGCTAATCGTCGAATTCTATTGACTGGTACACCTCTACAAAATAATTTATTGGAATTAATGTCTTTATTAATATTTGTAATGCCTTCATTGTTTGCTGGGAAACAAGCCGATTTAAAAAGCTTATTCTCTAAAAATCCTGTAAGTCATTAAAATATTGTTATTAAGAATGTATTAATCATTTTATATATATAAGTAATTTATTCATAATTCTGAATAAATTTTGCAGAAAGCACTGAGTGATAAGAAGAATGGAGAACAACCGTTTTTTGAAAGAGAACAAGTTAAAAATGCAAAGGAAATTATGCGGCCGTTTGTTCTTCGACGACTTAAAGTTGAAGTTTTATGCGATTTACCCCAGAAGACAAACGAAATAATACGATGTACATTAATTGAAAAACAGCAAAGTATGTATAACAAGTTACTCGCTCAATTCTCAGCAGAGGCCAGTGAAATTACAGATTTAAATGGTGTTGGCATGATGATGCAGTTGAGGAAACTCGCTAATCATCCCCTTCTTGTACGTGATCATTACGATGAAGATAAACTAAAGGTATGCAATCTATGAAATGTCTTTCTATTGGTATTTTCTTTAATCGGTATTCAATTTATCAATCATTAGGTTATAGCAAGTAGATTGGCGAAAGAACCAAGTTACAAACAAAAGAATCCAGAATACGTTTTTGAAGACCTGATTTGGACATCTGATTATCAAATAAATCAATTAACCCGTATATACAAAAGTGTAGCCGGATTCGGTTTGCCCCAGGAACTTATTCCTGAAGCTGGTAAATTAAAGGAATTGGACAAGTTACTACCACAATTAAAAATTGATGGTCACAGGGTGCTTATATTTAGCCAATTTACTATGGTATTAGATATACTCGCAGAATATTTAGCTATTAGGGGACATACATTTTTAAGGTTTGCTATAATCAATTATTGTTACGGTTGTATGCTACCTCAGGTTAATTTTAACTAATGAATTTAATATTGAAATTAGACTAGATGGCAGTACACCTGTGACTGAGAGACAGACTCTTATAAATAAATACACAGAAGATCCAAGTATATTCATATTTTTATTATCAACAAAAGCCGGAGGTTTAGGGATCAATTTAACTGCTGCCGATACAGTTATATTACACGATATAGATTTTAATCCATACAATGACAAACAAGCAGAAGACCGATGCCATCGTGTGGGACAAACAAGGTATGCATAAACATTAAGCGTATTTTTAAATCGAGATAAAACTTTACTTAAACTCATTCATTAAAATGAATATATTCAAGATATGGAATTCTCTTGCAGATCTGTTTCTATCATAAGATTATTAAGCGAAGGCACAATAGAGGAAGGCATGTATGAGATAACGCAAGAAAAATTGCATCTTGAACAACAAATTACTGGGGGTGAAGGTAAATATACGACATTTTATCTTATAATTGTACAAAAATTCAAATGCATTTCGCTTACAGAAAATGAAAATGCGGATAAAAAGTCCATTCTAAAATTATTAAAGATGACCATTGGCCAGGATGGTTACAATAAATCTCTATCATCGATTAAAAATACTAATAAAGGAACTGACGCTATGGAAAATGATGAAATAGTATGAATAAGGGAAATTTAATTCCCATTTGTAATAATTATAATTTTGATATATACTCCAATTTAATTCACGATAATTATATCAAATCATTATGAATAACATATTTTGTAAAGGATCACATTTTTCGACGAACAATATTCGATCAGAAATATATCACTTTGTAGATTCTATATTTATAATGTGCGCTGTGGAATTTCCTTTTTGTTATTTTATACGTCTATTAAATCATTCCTTTATTTATCTATGCAATATGCATTTTGTTTTATTTTATATAGCACACTTTTAAATATATTTTCAAGATATTAAAATATACCTCAAAATACAACGTCAAATAAGCGAAAAAAATAATGCATACTTAAAAAATATTTTTTACAATAAAAATCATTGATTGCATTTTTAAATTTTAATATAAAATTGAAAATAATGTATATAATAACCATCTTTAACACTTAAGGCTGTCTGTAGTAAGTAGTAAGTTGTAACAAATTGATTAATCAATTAAATGGAAGAACAGACTATGATTGATTTCTTACAGCTTATACATTTCATTATGGACAGCCTTTTAATCATTAATTGACACGTCAATGTTAAATCACAAAAAAAGTAGAAATTGTGTAAATAAAATAAATATGGCTCAGCTCTTTGTGAAAAATAGAAATAAATTTACACAATCACGATCATTTACATAAACATTAATAAACATGTTACCATTTAGAAGACATATGAAAAAATTTTATTTATATTACAATTTTCATGATATACTTTGACTCATCAAGAGATCTGACATTCCATCTTTAATGACTTTTAAACTTTCTAAATCAGCATTTATTGTCGAAATAAGCTGCGCCATGCCTTGCTGTTCCATACTTAGGTACTAAAATAAGAAAATATTACACATACTATTCGATAATAATTTTTAACTAAAGTAAATAAACATTTTCTCACCGCTTTAATATCATCCTGTGCTATGGGATCCATTGTATACCTCTCTTGGTTTTGAATATCGATGTGTCGCCTCATTCTGAGCTGAGAAAGCATTTCACTAATTCTTCCTTTATATTGCGTTGGAGCACTGATTTGCGAATGCATTGCTTCAAATCTGCGTGTTAAAACTTCTTCTTCTGGTTGTAAGGATAATCCCACTTTTCGTGTAATCTCCTGCCGTACTAGAACCTTTAAAGGGAATTTATATTGTTAACAGAAAAAATATCACGACTAAAATCAATATGGTCCGTGGACTAGCAATGGATCCAGATTCGATCCCATTCGTGCACAGGATTTTTCCTGCATTAAATTACATAAAGCCCTGATCATGGTGGAAGAAACCCAGGTGTGCTCGGGTTTTCTTCCACCATGCCTCTGATTAAAAACAAATTTGGTCAAATATATGTAAGGCTTAAAAGTTGACGACTTGTTACTGGCTAATATAATTCTACTTACGAAACTAAAGATCAATTAAAGAACAAAAAAAAAAAAGAATCGATTGCTGTAATACCTGTAGAACTCTGTGTTGAAGTTCCAACAATGTACGCCGATGTTCCTTAAGTCGGGCCTGTGTAGCCGTATGCTGCCTTTGCAAGCCTTGTATTTTTTCAGCCGCCATGTCCAAAAACGCTCTATGTCTAGCAGTTTCCTCTTCTTGACATTTCAGTCTGTGTTTAACTTGCTGAAAGCCAATCATAGGAACTGGAATATACAGCTCTGGGTTAGGATTGTCCAATTGCGCTTGCTTCCATAATCTAGCATCAATCGCGCAAGGTGGATTATCCAAGTATTCTTTTAGCTGCGATGGATCAAGTTTTACTAGCGGGAATATATCTTCCACTCCATTCTGTACCAACTGTTGTTTTTGCATGACTTGTGACAAATATGCTACCAATTCATTGGCAGGAATTTTTCTGTAAGAACCAGTGATTCCTTTTTCCGATACATATACTGTCACTTGACTTTTGTTCTCTCCCGTTGATTTAATATTATCAACGGTTATTGTCAGATTGGGCTTATTTCCCAACAAACCATTGAGAAATGCTATTAATTGCTGTTTTCCATCCTGTACATCTTTCTCTTTCTTATTAAAGCATAATACTACTAAACCATCATTGTTGTCAGCGTCAGGTATGCGACTGTATCCAATGGCTTTAAATCTGCATAACGAATTTTCTTGAGTAAGATCTACAGGTGGAGCATTTACGGAGTAATAAGCTTTTCCTGTACCCCACAATGCTTGAATAAGATTCCACCTAGCAATGGTATTATCTCGCTCGTCATTATATAACTGACAATTGAACACAGCATTGTAGAGAGCTTCTGATGCAGTATTTGTAGGTTGCTGCTGTTGTTGCTGTTGTTGCTGAGGCTGTGTCAATCCAGTACCAAATCCAGTAAATCCTGTTCCTATAGATATATATGTAATATGTTAATAAAAAGTAAAGAAAAAAATATTATAATATCAGAAGCCTTAATCTATGTAAAAAGATTTTGCATTACCTGTTCCAAATCCACCAAATGTAGTACCAATGGTAGTAGCTGGTTTGCTCCCAAATGCACCAAAACCTGATGTGCCGAAACCTGTTGAAGCAGTGTTTGCAGTGCCAAATCCGCTAAACAAGCTAGGGGCAGATGTAGTGGTCGTAGTTCCAAATCCACCAAAGCCTCCAAAACTTAAGGTCGATGTTGTCGCTGTCCCAAAACCACCGAAACCGGTGGTGGAAGCAGGAGTGCTACCAAATGTCGAAGTTGTACCAAATCCAGTGGTTGTGGAGGAAACGGGAGTACTACCGAAAGTTAATGCCGAACCAAAGGCACTGGTTGACGGGGTACCAAACGTAGGTGCGGATCCAAAACCTGTGCTCGGTGCGCTACCAAAACCAGTGGCTGCTGGGGTACCAAATCCGGTGCCAGTACCAAATCCGGTAGTCTGCGTCGACGGCGAGCCAAACAAGCTTGGCGTTGAAGTAGTCGGTGTACTAAACCCGAACGAAGGTGTCCCAAATCCTGCTACTTTAAAATTTGTAACTAGTTAGCACTTTCAGCAAAAACTACTATAAATACTTTGTTTTGATATATATATATCTCTCTCAAAGAAATATATATATACATATACACGCTCTACCACACAACCAGTACTGAAAATCTGTAATATACATAACATGTGTGCTACAGATTTTCAGTACTGTGTGGTATATATCAAACACTGCTTATATCAAATCATCTTTCTTTTGTTTAACGTGAAGTTAGATAAATATCAATTAAAAGGTATGTGCTATTATTTTTGTTGCTTGTTTTACAAAAATAATTTTAATTGTAACATTTATATTTTTGATTGTGATATTGAAAGATACTGCATGAATACTATATTTAACTATTTGCAGAGATTACTGTTTAGATTTCCATATTTAAAAATTCAAAAGTCAATTATAAATAAATATAAATTTATAATATATGGTTATATAAAATATATAAAATAATGACACTCCTGAGTGAACAAAATAATCTCCAGGTAATAACAACATAAATAAAAATAGACTATTTTAATGTTAGACAAACTTAGAACTGATAAGTATTTTTTGGTGTTATTAAAACATAGCAATTTAATAAAAAATTAGAACACATATTAAAAATGTTTTCTTTAACAGGCCAACTTCTACACACAATTGATACATAATTCACTGCAGACAGCCACTACATCTGATACAGATCTTCATCATGTTAAGTCAGTACACGATCTTTCCACTCAAATTGTAAGTGAACTTGGTACTACAAGTATAACAATTGGGTTAATAATTGTTATAACAATTCATTTCCTAACAGACAATAATTTTGATATAATTATTTTTACACAGGATGCAACCGCGGAAATCATGATAACGACGCTTGGTAAAATTCCAAATGAAATGTATTACTTGGAAGATACAACTGCCGGTAAAAAAATTGCAGCTTACAGTACCGAATCGCGCACAATACTGGACCACAGTCATACCACCTTGGCTTCGATCGAAACCGCCAAATCTGACGAATACTCTGAACGTTCGACGTTGCTAATCATTTTGCTGACCACACTCCTAATTATATTATTCATGTGTTGCGTCACAGCGTGTATTATTGCAAGATCCAGGAGCAGACACGCTTTCCTCGCGAAGAGCGACGTCGAGTGCAGCCCGGATTGTGGGGGTATAAACCAGCCTCTGCTAGACAAGGCTTCCGATACAACCAGCAAAACTAACTCGATGCGAAACTGAAGAGGGGCCCGTTTCGTGGAGCGTCTCGACCATGATATTATTCCTCAACTTCACTGAGGAACGCGACAAAAAATATCTCCCTGGAGTAAGCGTTCTTAACCTCAAAATTGTCACACACAAATTGTCGCGAGATACCTACGCACGAAAGCGAGGTGAGTCCGATAGACAGATGGAATCAGAAGGAAGGTGAACAGGAAGGAGAGGAGACACGAATGAGAAACAAACGATCTTGTGACGAGGAGTAGCTTACCAGGTTTAACTGGCGTTGCTGTGGACGCCGGTGTGGTGCCGAATGCGAACGTGGGTGCGGGCGTCGACGCGGACGCGCCGAAGCCGCTGCCGAACGACATAACGACTCCTTGTACCGCAACTCTGGTCGAATACACTACTAACAGCTGATCGTACTGACGTCGCGACTCCGACGCGTACGATCACCCGCGACGACAGGAGCGAACTCCAATATGGCAGTTCGCACGTGCGATAAAAGCTTGGCACTTTGCAACTGTACTTTGTAAACTTTTCAGATTCTTTCTTTCTCCCTTCAATGTATGTACAATACGCCCATCCTATTTTAGGTGCAGATAGGTGCAACGCAATGCAACAATGGAGAACAGTTCTGCGCACGAGCGGGAGATGTGGTGCGCAGAAAATCTGCGTGACATACTTAACGCGCGAAATTTCATCAGTGATCTTTTGAAACAGAAGCACGCGTCATGCGCATCGTTTGTTATCGCATTGTTGAATGTAGAGATCACATTTGTACGTAACTTTTTGGGCGACTTCAATCAAATTTCGATTAACTCAGTTAATCATTATAATTATCGACGATTAATTCAATCTGTAGAAAATAGCTGAAAATAAAATTTTCAAATATATAATTTATCTCTAATCTAATTTTTCCATTCTTATCTTAAGAAATTAGAAAATTTTATTTAAGTTAATAAAATATTAGGTAATGTTATAGTAGATAGTACGCATTAATATAGATATAAATATGGTATATAATATTGTAGCAATTTTCAATCATATAATTTATTATATATCTCTAATCTAAATTTTTTGGAGATTAAATAAAAAAACAAAAAGTTAATTAAGCAAAATATATTACTTAATAAACAACTTGCTCCGATTTGATCCAATTGCATACAAAATTTTTAACTGTATAAACTCATCGTTATAATAATTTTTAATTTCTTTTTCCGCGTGTTTTTCCACAACGAGAAATTTTATTTGACAGATCATTCGCCAATTGATTTAATTGGCATTTAATCAGAATCATTCTTACTTAATTACATAAATACTAATACCAAATGTTGTAAAACGCATATCTGCAATAATTAAATACATACAACATATTGAATAAAAGCATGTATCTTCTTTAAACACCATCGATTTTCATTCTCTATCACAATCCATTTATATTTAAATAAATACGCGCGGAAGAGAAGAAGCATTGACGTAAACTCTAATGATTGCGTTTAAATTTTCTTTATTAAAATCTCAACTCTAGAAACAACGTAGAGATATTATACGAACACTCGCGATCACGCTGATCGTGTTGCGTGAGCCACGCGAGCTTCAGATCGAGTAAACAATATATCCCAAGGGTTCAATAATAATAGGTAGAGCCTTCGATTTTTAACGGATTTTTATATAATTCAAAAACTTAAAAATAAATATCTTCATAATCTAACGTACATATATGTGATACTTTCGTCAACAGTTCGATAGGACTATCGTATAATGTATAATACTAGACTTACAAGCGCCGTTTGCGCGGCAGTTGATCAAAAAACGAGTACAGTAAAAAATACTGCGTAGGTGAACGCGTGTGGTATAAGTATATATACCGTAAAATGAGAAATTACATTTCGTTTTAAATATTTCCTATACACGGGGGATTTACGACGACAAATTTTACATATCTTCGAATTGTGTGTCTGAGAGAGAGCACACGCGACACATAGACAGCCGTAAGATACACATGTCTCAATACTGTACTGTTTTTCTCTTTTTTTTTTTCCCTCTTTTTAAGGCGCAGTCAAATCGTATCGAAACATATAAAACAATTCCACACGCTATAAACTAACTTACGCTTTAAGTATAACACCAGGTAACACGCGACAAACGGAAAGACCGCCGTCACGAAATCATGTTTCACAGACATTACAGAGAGTCATTCTCACGTTTGGCGTGTTCCAAGACTCGCATATATTTATTATTCGCATATTGACCGTGTGCACGTTTTATAGATTTAATACTAGTTTTAGAAGAGAGTTTTGTCGCAAGCGTAGCGCTCGTTTGTGTGTGCATTGCTTTGGCATCATAGTCGGTGCAGTTCATACATTTCGGCGATGTGCTGCGTGCCTAAAAAAAACAAAAGGTCAAATACCATAAATTTCGCGACCTCGCAGATGAATAATTGCTGATACCAAATCCGTTCGTAAATGATTTGGAAGTCGGTGTAACGTAACATATCCTCCGTAAAATATCGAGAAAACGATCCTGCGCGCGTCCGGTGCGTGTTCTGTCAAAACACATTCATCAAAAATTAACACTCGTGCGCCCCGGCTTATGTACTAAACGGAACGGCAATGATAATACTTCACCTCATCAAGACTCCCAAATTATAAACGAACGGCGTGAAAATTCGTAAGCATTTAAATCTCGTTAGCACATTTTGAGTTTATTTTGACAACTGCGTTAATCATCCGGATTGGACCAAATTGTATATATATAATTTGGTTTCTCTGTCTCAGACGAATTTGGGAGTACACTTCATGAGGTTTACAACAATATTTTGATGCTGTACACAATTAATTAACACGATACTTTTCTAACGAGATTTAACTGCAATAACTGAATCGTATATGACCGTAAAGATTATTTTAGGCCTAAACGTAAAACATTGTAAATTGCTTCGTGTAACAAGTACGTGCTCTGTAACAAACGATAAGCATGTTATAAATATCGTCCTGAGTCAAATCCAATTTGCAATTTATAGCCGCAATATTCTATATACCGATTAAATAATTAAACATTTTTCTTTAAGTACAACGTATTTATTATATTTATTATATACTTGTTTTAACGCGCCGAGACACTACCGTGTTTCCTGATATATTGTGCGTTTTAAAATATATTTATATTCTCTCTCTTTCTTATTTGAAAAGATAAATATTTTCACAAGAAAATTACGTACCCCGGTATAAGAATTTAATTTTTAGTTCCTTCATTCTCTTATTAGAAACAATGAAGGAACCACAATATTGCTGTTAACTGTACTGTTCAGCGAACACGCTTTGTTTACAACTGTTATAATTTTTTATTTTGCTCTTGAAATTCATTATATTTTTACGAAAAATATCAAGGTACATATATATTTGACTAAAAACAGTGATAACATTAACGGCTTAAAATACTTCGTTATATATTTTTTTTTTCGAGTATATAGATCTTCGTAAAAGAGTTAAAAGTCAAGATATAAAACACTCAAAAGCTCCATCCCTGAAAATGTTATTCCGTGGAAGGGGGGTAAGTTGGTCCATAGGATAAGATTGTATTACGCTAAGGAAATCCGGTTGAGTACTTTCTCACAGGTGCTGAAAAATACACCTGATAAAATTTCACAAACATCCAATCTCGGGTGTCTATACAACAGCTGCTAATGGGAATCGGGCTACATATAAAAATACACATATGTCGTTCTGCCAATAAATAATTAATCGATAATAGTAGATAATTATAGAAAGAAGAACACATTGTCATTAGAAAGATAGAATTAATTTCCACAAAACTTTCACGAAACATAGGCCAGACTTCATTAGATCGTGTATTTCCTGTTTATCTGAATTCACAGGAAGAGAGTCATTAGCTCACTATAAGATAAAAATTACTATACTTCACGTATACTTACTAATCACGATACTATTTGTATATTTAAATATATTTAGCGATATACACTAAAACTATGAAATTGGTGTTTTTACTAAAGCGATAAGCGCTATATAAATTATATTATTAATTAAAAAAAATTCTTTAAACAATTTGATGAAGAGCTAAACATTCACATTTACATGACATTAACATTCTATTCGTTAATTTTATTATTGCATTAATAGATTATTTTTTATATTTGTTGATTGAGTCTGTAGTCTGTAATGAATGAAGATAACATAATAATTTATCGTGCACAAGTTGCGTGAGAAAAATGCATGTGTTATTGTTTTTTAATAATTTAAAATCGCGATTCAGTTTCCGGCATCCTATGGGTTCTTTTAAATTGTGCAGATACAGTCACTTAACATTTCATTGTCTGTGTTATCACCATGTGGTGTAGCTATCGTGGATAATCGTGTACTTCGGTCACTTCAACGAAACATTATTTGAGGGTGCATCGTGAAGAAACACGCAAGTACGTACCCATCGATACTTACGACAAATAATACCGGAAATATGATTTGATTTAAAAGCGAAGTGTTACGATAATCATCGAGATCGATTGAAAAGAACTTTAGGTCCCAAATGTATCGCGCGAATGCATAAGGACGTCCCATAGCGGTGTCCTCTGATTTTATACTCGTGTGTGGAGAGATTATAAGTACGTCTCTGAAAACTCAACATCAGAAGCGGAAGCGCGGGAGGATTTTGTACAAATGGAAATACCCCCACCGATAGCACTGTCCGATGTCCCCTCGCCGGTCGGATAGTCAGCAATGATGAAGGACTGTTTGGGCTGTCCTTGTCTGCAACGACTTGTGCCGGTTCCTTTTACGGCATCACGTTCAGCCAGCTTCTGCTTGATAGCTTGAATTTTTTCTTCTTTCTGAAATATGTAGGTTTGAATAAGCGAGAGAATAATGAAACAGTACGTATAACGATAGTACAGATATTAATTGATAAAACATCCATTTTAGAGTAAATTTAATAAAATAAAGTATTTTTTAAGAAATAATTCTAATTTTAGAACGTATGATATCGTTACAATGGCTGCGTGTAACAGAAAAAAAAAACAGCTTTACAACTGTTGTTGCTTTAATATGATTTAAAATTCTTTATATGACTGATTTACATTTGGATACAATAAGAAACTAAAGACAGAAACCAATCAATGTCAGTGAATTGAATATCGGATTTAAAAGGCAGTTTTGCAATTATTGTAAGATTTTTTAATATAATTCTTGCCCCTAATTCTTCATTGAATCTAAATATGTAAACCAATTGCGTATTAAAGAATTTTGCAACAGTTGCAAAGCTGCTTCTAGTTATTATTAAAAATAGGTTTTATTTTCGTATCAATAAGGAATTCTTACCGCAGCGATGAGTTTCTGAAGCTCGTCGTTTTCAATGAGCAGTTTCTGATACTTCTCTTCCTCTTCCTTGGATACTGCACTGTCCGGATTGTATCTCGACTCGGACTTATCTCTGGGATGCCTGATCACTTCGATGACCTTCGGCACGAAGATGAGAGCCATGCTGAGGAAGCAACAAAAAATGGTGGCTAGCGCCGAAAAGGCGTAACCTGCATCCTGTTGACTAGAGATGACCATCACCACAGGTACCGTTATGAAACACAGAACTACGATGTTATATATCGACATTCCCACATATCTCGAATCATTGATCAGTTTGATTTTGATGCTTCTCGTTTCGTAAGATAGAAAGAGCCCGAAAGCAAGAACAATGCCTTTATAGCCATAGAGTAAGCCTAGAACAAAATATTCACAATTTCTGTACACGATTTTGCATCGTAATAAAATTGTATCGGTTCGCACACTGCATTTATTTCCTGGCGTGCACCCTGACTCATGAATCGCACTCACCGAGCCACAAGCTATTGTGCTCGCTCTCACAATGTTCCAATTCGGGTCTGATCATTGCGTCTTCGTCTCCATAAGGAGGTAGTTCCAGGGCGAAGGTCTCGATTCTTCGGTGCAACGGATCGATCACTTGCCAAGTGACGAGGAGGATGATATCGATCGACAGCAACCCGCCCAGCATACAGTACAGCTTCCACGGCTCAATCTTCTTCTGTATAGACGAAACTTTTTGTTTAGCCGTCAATGACTAAAAGGAATCGAGAATAGGTTAAAGATGCGGGACATACGAGCGGGAACAGCAAACCATGCAGGATGGTTCCATGGCTTCATGAACAACTAAAAATCAGTCTCGTTACTACTGAGGAACTCAAGCGGAAAAGCGGTACGACTGTCTTCACAGAAGATCGAATCGTCTGATGGAAGAGAAGTAATAAAAAGTACACAGAATTGCGAATAACATTCGCAATTATTATTTAATGATAAAGTTCTCCAATATTGTACACACATATATTATTGAAGATCATTCGTATCGCTTTACCAGCGGAGACCCGATTATCCGTATTAAGTATACGACTTACTTTTCCTTGATCGGCTTTTGCCTTCGTAGAGAGTCGATGGACCCTCCACACTTTACTAAACATGGCACCGAACGCCAAGGTGAAACCGACCGACATCGTCCACGCCCTAGCCTGGCAGACTATCAAAAACTGCCACGGTGTTACAAACCTACCGTCAACTCCTATACACAACACGGCCAAGAAGCAGACTATTATTCCCACCAGCATTATCGAGTTGGCACTGGGATGAGACGAATATATAACTCTGAAAAGTAGACATCGGTTGTATATATTGCAGCTATCGATTGTAGATTGTAGCCTGGCCCGCGATATATGTTATGATAACGTATTAACGAATGCAGCACGATATAGTATACATATGGTATATATAGTACGACAGTATAGTATACCTTCGGTGCCTATTATAGACATTAAATACGATCAATCCGATGGCTATTATGATACCGATCACCGACAAGGCCGCCATACTTATGAATAAGGGCAGTGACACTGTTCTCAAAACATTTCTTATTATCGTTCTGTCCTGCGGCACTTTGCCACCGAACCATCGCTCCACGTTTCGCCATGTCAGATTGTCACTTTGTGTATCATAGTACCCTAATTTAACGTACTTCCCGTCAATCACCTGCTCTATTTGCGTCAGAGCGATTCTATCACCCTGCGAGCTGAACGCGACATGACCCTGGGGGGAAAAAGATTTTAACATTTAGGATTTGTGAACGAACGAGCAACTTTCAAGCTAAGGCTTGACTACATACGGAAACTCCGAGAAACTGGGTCGAGTTTACCGCCGCGTATATCTCGTCGGCAATCTCTTTGTTTTCGTAAGTGAAGTTCTTCAAACTGTTCCCCAACTTGCTTAGCCTTTCCATGGTTCTGTTGAACGCTGCGATAGTAGAGACAAAGAGGAAAGGATCGATAAGACCGATTATTGGTCTCCAACTTTTTCTTTCACGCGTATGTGTTCGAAACTCACCAAGAGCGACGGACCAGACGGCGTCGTAGGCGAGAGGTGCCTCCTGATATCCTTCCGGATAACGATCGTTATCAATGTCGTAACCGTCATCCTTCAGCAGTTTGTTCAATCTCTTTCGGAAGTCCTCGGCGGTCATGCCGCTGATTGTCGTGTCGTTATTCTGATTCCACATAAGTGCTTCGGTGGTCAAGTGTCCCTCCGCTGCCATTCGCATTTGCTCCTTCGTGCAGGTGATACCCTCCTTTTCCAGATTGATCTCAAACCAATCGTCCTCGTACCAGCCGATGAAGAACCACACGTAGGACTGGCCGTACAGCTTCTGGTGATAGAGCTCGCAGAGCACCCGTCTCGCGGCTACGACGTAGAACAAGCCGACGATTATTCGAGCGTCCTGACGGCGTAGATTCTTCACCGCATCCGTGGGATCCGATAGGAAGCTTTGACGGGTGACTATCTCTATCCCAGCTTCCTTACATCGTGCTTCTAGATCTTCGACGGTCTAAGGCAATTTGACGAGTCAAATATACATATATTCGTATGAGGGACGAATTAATTCTGATAATTTGGCCAGTTCTGTTTTCAAAGATACATTATATATTATAAAAGGTATATATAAAGATACTTTCTTATATTTGTTCGCGTCATACAAAAGTCGAGTCACTTTAGTTCCATGAACTTTACAAGAAAGTAATAATCTAGACGTATTATCTTAGCAGCTCTAGCTAAAACTTTCTTATGATGTCTGTTAGACGTGTATGTTTATATCTGGTCAAGTGTATAACAGTTTTTGACATTCTTACCGATATAAATACTTCTTCAGCTTGCTGCAATATCGCTACCCGAGACCAGCCGAACTTTTGCAACAATTTGATTCTCGTGGGGTTGTGCACAGTGGCGGAAGGATGCGTTCTGAACAAGGTCGGGAATCGATTTCGGTCGGACAGCGCCGGCGACGATGCACCGTAGCAGAGCTAAGGGATATCATAGACGTTCGTATTTCTGTTATACCACCGGAATATACGATCGCGATGAAATACGAGATTTACATGCATAAACGCGACCGAGGGAAGGGGAAAAAAGAAGCGAGTGGGTACTCACCACCACCAAGTTCCACATCTTCGCCGCCTCAGCGACCGTAGTGCATACCGTACTGCACCCAGCCAACAGCATTAATTTATAGGGTGGAAAGTATAGTAAGTTGTACATTACGGACGCGCCGAGGCCGGGCTCGCACTGTAATGTAATAAATTACAGAGGTAATTTTATATCGCGCAAGATAGCAGTGACAGTGGCGGGCGGTGACCATCGCCCATCATTATAATACCATTAAAAGCATCTTCGTGAGTTTACCTCGCTATCGTTGGAATGGAGGTGCAGTCTATATCCGCGTAACAAGTTCTTTTCGCGATTAACATCCTCTAAGGCCAGGCGCGCAGCTGGCATGCAAGCCTGTTGAATAAATGACAATGCAATTTAGCTTGATTAATCCCCTAATTTGATGAACCGGCTTTGCATGCAGGATTACAAGCAGTGCCACGTCATTCGTGGCTAAAATATGCTTTCAGGAGGTATGCGATTGCGACGCAAATATTCGTGGTGAACATAAAAATTGGAACTTAAATCGAATGTACAGGAAGAGTGACAGGGGCGTAAAAGGCAAGCAAAGAAACACAATCGACTCTTTTCCTCTGATTTGAATACACTTTGAATATATGAAAATATAGACAAAAATAAGAGAAGTGATTTTTTTTTTTATGAATGCTTTGAAAAAAAATCGGTTTTTTTCTTTCAGAGGAAGTATCATCTAAACCGTGAAAGATATAGAAGAATATTTTAAATAAAAGTTGAATAATTTTAAAAAAGTACTTTATAATAATTTAAAATTTTAATTTTTTATAAATAAAGTTTTTAAAAAAAATTTTTTTATCATTATAGAGAGAGTACTCTTAAAACTAATCAACTTTCATTTAATTTTTTTAGAGGGAAGATTGCATTCTCTTAACGTGTAACTCAAAGTATTTATAAAAAATCATATGTCTTATTTTTTTTATATTTTTAACATAAGTATCCAAAGTTTATTAAAATTAGAGATAGAGACAGTTGATTGTGTCCTAGAAAGCATAAATTGGAACAGCAATTAACGTAAAAGACGTCTTTTAAAAGGTATACGTTCCTTTTGTCGCTGTTTCAATTTTTATGCTTCCTAGAAGTTCCATTTAGAACTTCTATTACTCTGCCTTTATATTCGACTTACGCTCCAATTTTTATCAGGAAAATTTAGCAACGGGCATCAAAACGATACTGGAAGAATATTTGTGAAAAACTGAAAATATATTCAAGCTGTGTCGTGTGTTTTATCCAAATAAACAGTGCTCATTTATGCAGACAGTTTAAAGCTTCCTCGTACTCGTTGAAAAATGTGTATTATAAAAATAACAAAATTATAAAACGTTTGTCAGAAATTGGATAGTTTTTCGATAAAACGGTTCATTACGTATGCAGATTTATTTTGCGTGATTGTATCAACTTTGAACACCGCGTATAAAAAGAATAAATTACCATCGCGTTTAATCGTAAAGTGAATTAAATACTACGACGTTTATTTAAAAAAAAGTGATCAAAATATAAGTTATGTGCTCTATTATTTTTTTTAAATGCATGAATCATATTTGCGTTTAATTCTTAAGTAAGACACGAATTAAATATACGCTGGTAGAACGAAATGGTACCCTAGTTCGCCTGGGTTAAATTTTGTTATTTTTAACTTCCGTGTGTGTGTCAAAGTGTAAATTATTTCTGTGGTTAGTTTCAAAGTAAACAACATCTATATTAACGTATGCATTCAGTAAATATAATAAACTAAATTTGGGTCAAATTTAATATAATTTCTTGTTAAATTGTTTAGCCTCATATTGTTTTAGTTAAATTAACGACATGTTGAATAAGAGCGTAATAGCGATCTATAGAAATGATTAAAAATAATTCAAATTGAGTATAATTCGGCAACATATGAATTTAACAGCACAACTGCGTCAGAAAGACGCAACGTTGTAAAATGAACATTTGCAATTTAAACGCTAATTGACGAAAAATAATGAATATCTCGTGTAGAATTTTCTCTGTAAATTACCGCGAGTATCAAATAACAACGCGAAAGAAAATACAATCCCCAACAAGAGATAATTATGACGCAGAAATAGAGAAGTGAGTTACTAAACCGCGATTTCTAGACTCTTATTATTATTTTTGTTGTTCTTTCGCTGCAAATCCAAGAAAGTTCTTAAATCTAACCATTCGTGAGAAATTCGTGTTTCACTAAATTTGCTAAAGATTTTACTCGGTTCTTCGAGATTTACCAGCTTTAAGAACGCTTCGACGCGCATGACTTTTGAACACGAGGCAAAGAAAGATGTCCCTTCATGCGAGTAAACTTGCTCGCCGTTATGAGAGAACTTCTGGAATTCGATCTCTAAAGTTTCGAAACGGCCCGTGAAGTTTCTCGGAAATTTTGCTCCCGCTATCGATGTCACAAGGTCGTTTATCGAACAATTCGCGAGAGCGAGGAAGCGAAAGACTATATAAGACGGGAGGATGAAAGGGAACAAGGGAGGCTGCAAGCAATCATGATATCGCGTAACAATTCATCCTCCTTCGCAAATACATGTAAAACTGAGCAGGAATATGTATTCAACATATCTCTTACCGAATTTATAAGGATATCACTGCAAAAGATGAATGCAAAAAGAGAGGATAACTGGAGCCTCTTAGAAGTCAAATTGATTGATTCCTCGTGAGTTCTTTAATTTTAGTATCAAATAACACTATTTAGCTTGTGACTCTTTTTTAATTTTCTATATATTTCTTTCCATGGAATTGATCGATTTGCCTTCTGAGAAAATTAATTAAAACTCCCTCAAATATAAAATATGAATTTTTAGGCAAAGAAAGTATCGGATCAATCATCACAACCTTATCAATGTCGATACATTGATTATAACGATCGAAGGTTAATTTTGATAAATAAATCGTTGGAAACGGAGCGTTGATTCCGTTTTCATTTACCAGTTGCTCAACATTCTACTTCAAAGGCAAACGGTCCACCTGATACCTACAAATGCTTTAAAGTATTCTGTGATTGGTCATATAGTTAGTAAAATTCTTTCTTCCGATTTATTAATCAAACGCTTCGTATAAGCGTTCAGCGAATTATCTAAAGAAAAAAAAAACAGATACGTAGCCTAATTGTAACGTCTTCATCTTCTCGGTTTACGTATTTACAATAAATAAAAAGACGTTAAATATCTTATGTGACGTCATGAACAATTAAATAAATCGCCGTTTGTTTACTTCCTTCGTTCGGATATATTTTGGTAAAACGAGAAAGGAGAATCACGTCGAGCATTTCTCTTACCTGGCCGCCTTGCCAGCCACCCTCTCCACCCACAGGGAAGATGCCGCCGATGTGCAGGACGTTCTCCTCCTCGTCTTCGGGTGATAGCAACGTCTCGGTCCAGAGCGCTGCCATTAAAATCACAATTAAGCTCAGCAACATTGCGCATTGCCGAGGAAGGCCGCTCGCCATTCCGCCAGCAGCGTCTTTTGCTCTCACGCGCGCGCTCGCTAAAACCGTACGTTTCTCTCTTTCTCTCTCTCTCTCTCTCTCCCTCTCTCGCTCTTTAGCTCTCTTCTACGACATACCGGGTGTAGTGGGACACGTAGTGGCAAAATCGGTGGTGTGCAATGTCGACGAGAAAGCGCTCACTGCCATCGTCCTCGCCCGATCGACCTCGTCGCCAGACTAATCGAACACTTCTCTCTCTCTCTCTCTATCTCTCTTTCTCTTTTTCTCTCTCTTTTTCCCTTTCTTTCTCTTTCACCCTCTTCACGACGTACGCGGTCGATCGCCCGTGAATCTCCTCGCGCGAACGTCACTCTTCTCTTCGTCCTTCGTCCACCCCCGATGCCTTTCGCCTCTTTCTCACCACGATCGACCGAAATCAATTCCGACGTACAGCAGTTCCTTCTCCCGAAGCTTCGGTGTTTCTTACTCAACTCCTCACGAGTGTCCAACGCTCGCGTTCCTGCGGGGGATAATTTTTTTTTTTTTTTCCCCACGACTCTCTGCACGTCTCCGAAGTTGGGAACTGATCAACTTCTTCAATTGGAATATACTCGTCAACGCTCCGCTCTCCGCTCGGATTACTCGTCGCGCGCGAGTTTCGCGTGCGAATGGCAGGCGAGGGTGGCCACCCTCTGGAGCGATATATCGGGACCGAGCCCGATTCGATACCCGTCCCCGTCGGACAGGCGCGTGAGGGACAGCGATTCGCGGTCACCCCGCGGCTGGAGGAACGGAGGGGACGGTGCTCGTACTTCGCGCGCCGGTCTCGCGCAAGGGCATGCTCTGCCTTCGCATGGCCGGGAATTTTGCGCGCTCGCGGAGAGATTCAGCGGTAAGCGCGCTCTTCGCGGCCGTATTCATATCGATTCTCAACCCTCTAGAGGGTCAACAGGGAGTCGAGTGGGGTAGGATATGATGAAACAGCAAGCAAGAGGGTGCGAGAGGGCTCGAGAGGGTTGGAAAGATGGCTCCGTGAAAACGGCGCTCGCCTTCGTGCGAAAATCAATATGGCGCGGGTGATTCGAGTCGCGATCGCTTCGATTGTCCTTATTTCTGTATACCAATACAGATTAGCTTCAATTTTGGTTTAACTTGCTCCTTATCTTTTTCTAGTTTTAAGAGTCAAAAGATGAGGAGTAATTTAAATTGAGATTAAAATTTATTTATGTTAGAAAGGAATATATATGTAAAACTTTGTTTTATCTTTTTCTCCTCTCTCCTTTTGATCCTCTCGAAGATTCACTTCAATCTCATCACCGTCAGTACTGAAAATCTGTACTTTTTACGTCATATAGATTTTTAGTAAATTTTGGAACACAGTCTACTTCGCAGTTGTGACAATTTCCTAATTTAAATAGTCGTCAATTTTAACACTTAATATAATATCTCGGTCAGAGCGACACTTTTTTGGTCAGATTTGTTTACTTAGTACAAGAACAAGTCTCTGAAAAAAAAATCACGTCACATAGTTACATGCAAAAGATAAGTAAATTACAAATTGTTCCAAATCAGTATATGTAATTTTTTTTTAGAATTACGTATTATATAAATAAGTGACATGATGGTATGTTTTTCTTCTATTTCTATCATTTAATTCGTCTCTCTCAAAATTCGATAAAAATTGAAAATTACATAATGAAGAGAGAGATGGAGAGATGAAATCTTTAATATCACGTGATTTTTTTAATTACGTAATTTTAAGAAAACCACGTACTAATTTGGAACATAATTCGTTACGCGATTTACTTATCATAATTACATAATTTTATTATGCGATTCTGTGACATAATTTTTTTTTAGTAGAGATGAGCCTATATTTCATGAAAATCATGAAGAGTGTATTATTATTATTATATTTCTAACAACTTTGTAATTAACAATGAAATTAATAGTACATTATTATAATTTCTATAACAATAAATAAATACATACTTACTTGAAATATAACAACGTACGTACGTGCATGGTAATTGCATCGTCTACAATACTCGGCGTAAGAATAAGTAAGAATAAGACCAAGATTACATGCATCTGTTTTTTACAGAGAGGGTCTCGGACCTCTCTGTCCTACAGCCAATCAACGGGCTTGAAAAATTTGTTGTAAGATAAAAAACAGGATTTTATCTGGGAGCCTAAGAAATTAACCAATCACAGTCGATTATTCTTTTCATATTCAACTATGATTGGTCAATTTCTTACTCTTACATTTTACTTTATGTATTGTATAATGTGTATTGAATAACGCATGAGTATCATTTTATCCTTCTTTATTTTTCGATTTACAATAAGGACAAATGCGTTTTAAGAGTAATTTAATTCGAAACGCAATAAACGCATCGGTAGACAACACATATGTATCGTTTGTACTACGCATGCGCAAGATTTGTCCCCTTCCTTTCTAGTTTCCCGCAACTCCGTTGATTGGTTTACTCCGTTTACTCGGCTCACTTCGTAGCGAGACGTTCGTTAATCGCTTGTCATTTTTTTTTTTGTATCTTTCGTGGTCTTCTTTGTCGTCGTTGACAGTTAGATAGTGTTGCACGTGTTATTCTGTTTTAGTGTGACACAATGGCCACGCAACGTGCTCTTCCTCAGAGTAAAGAGGCGTTATTGAAATCATACACGACGAGGTTAAAGGACGACGTGAAGTCCATGCTAGAAAATTTCGAAGGTACTTTTCTAACCTCTGTCTAGACATCCTAACCTATTTTCGTAGGTCTCTACAATTACATCAAATCGTTAATTTGAAAATATCATAACAAGAATTGTAAATATCTAAGTGTCATGTAACTCATATAAGTGTCATATAACTTCAAGAAGAGACTGAAGGCAGAAAATGCCACTAACGGATGGGAGTAACTCCAAAACTTTCCCGGCATTTTCGCACCTAATAATTAAGCTTGTTTTTTGTAATTGAACTTTCTGAGTTTTGTAGTCAAACCTTTTTCTCCTCTTTCCAGTTTTTTCCTTTCTCTGATTATACATACTTCAACTGTAGAAAGTATAATATAGTACAGCTACAAAAAAACTTCTCTTTGATATGATTTTGATGCTCTAATTATTTGAATTTTTGGCTTCCGAAAGACATCAAGTACCAAAATTTATTTAATCCACTGTCTTGGGATTTGCCTCTGTTTCTTTATAGTACATTTTCTTAGAATATATATCCATTCAATATTGCTTGTGTTGAATAGTAAGAATGAATCAAGATTTTTTTTTAGATAAACAACTGATGAAGCTAATTCTATAATTTTAGGCATAATTGCTCATAATGTATTTAGAAATTTAAATATAAATTTAAAACTCTTTTCATTCTTGTGCCATTTTCAATTGATACGTTATAAACATTGTGATAGAATAGAAATATTGAAATGCAAAAAATATAACATAATATAAAAACATAAAACAAAAACGATATTAGTATTAAAGGTGTAATATAAAAAAATAAATTATTTGTGAAAGCAAATTATTTGTAATTATTCTTAATACTGTAAATTAAATCACATAATATAAAATTAAAAGGAATAAAAGTTCTTTCTCAGTAATATTAAAATATTAGCATAAGTGTTTAATAACATTTAATTTTCATATAATAAGTACAATATTGATCTCTCTTTATATATACGTATGAGATTTAGGAAGAGAAAGATTTATATTAGATATTGAATTTAATGATTTGTATTACCTTTGTTTTTATTATTTTTTAATATCTATTTTAATTCTGATTTATTTCTACTGTTTTCAGAGATAATTAAACTCGCAAAAGGAGAAAATGACTCTCAACTATCTCGAATGACACAATGTGAGCAAGATACATATGAAATGCATGTCAGAGCAGCTAATATTGTGCGTGCTGGCGAGTCATTAATGAAACTAGTCTCTGACATAAAGCAATATTTAATTTTGAATGATTTTCCCTCTGTAAACGAGGCTATAATACAAAACGGTAAATTATTTAGGACTAAGCAAGTAGAATGTGATCAAAAACTGGCTTCCTTGAGGGACGACATGGCTGCAGATTTATACGATCTGGAAGAAGAATATTATACTTCCATATATAAATAACACTAGTTTAAGTTTAAGCTTAATTTAATACTAGTCCTGTAATATATTTGAGACTGTTTTCTCTAACCCGAATCACAAAAATATGACTCATTCATTCAACTTGTACATTGTCCATTTATTTAAATAAATAGAATTAATTTTTTTATAACGTTTTACTACTTTCTTTTAATCTTGTGGAGATTTATAGATGAGAGTCCTGAATAAAAAATAAGGAGTAATTGTCTCTTTTATTACTTCGATATTTTGTAACACATAGACGATACATCACACAATACTTTTACATATTTAAGAAGGTAATAATATAGATCCAAGCTTCAGTTATTAATAGTCACCTCACAATCGTTTCCCCTTATTATTGTTTACTTGAAACGTAGTATTTCGTGATTCTGTACAATGGTAATTTACAAAACTGTTACACAGCTCTTCTGTATTGGAGCAAGGAGATTACAATTCTGATTAATTAATTGAATAAAAAAATAAAAAAAAAGATCTATACGTATACAATTTCAATTTGGAATGTTACACAAAGGTAATCTGATTTGCTTTTTATAATGCTCGTGTATTATAGCAACAAGATACAAAGAGTATCAATAACTTGGGTCTGACGAATAATTGGAAATTATGTTTTATACTAGAAAAGATTAACAAAAATATCACAGTGTAAGACACAACGCTGTGACACAAAACAAGTCTTTCAAACAATGGTACATCGTAAACTATTCGGTGAACTGGTACAGCATCTAAATAAAGTAAATACATTTGAAATTCTAACAAAACGCAGCAGCAGTTTACTTTTAATTCACCTTCGTAATAAATTATCTTTTTATCGCGTTTTCTTGCTTGAATCAGTCCACTGTCCAAGTCATAAAATCATATTAACTACATATCGTTACAATCATACATTATTATTAAATACCTACACCTACACGATTCAAAACAATATTTTCGATTATCCATGGTACGCATCCGAGATGTGCTTCATAGATAGAAGAAATTAACACAAAAGAAAAAAGGACAAAATTAATACAAAAAAGTAATGTAATTTTTTTCTCAAACTCTTTCGTGACTCGATTAACTTATCTTGGATGGCTCTTATAGACCCACAATAATTTAGTATTTACAAAATTCAATTTCCTTAAAATTAATAATTAACGTTAAACCGCCGTTTTCATCTATGCAACTTCTATGCGGAAAAGCTAATTTTATGATTCTTGAAAAATAAATGCAAACTCAATATGAAAAGACATGTCTTACAGCATGTGTAATGGCTTATCTTCGCATTTGCAAGGCGTAGTATGATCTGCCATACATTCGGTATAAATGACGATGTGCTTTGAAATTTACAATTCTTACAGTTTTGTTGAACTGGAACACTTATTGTACATATACATTATTAAATATACTAAGTAAACTTACGTTCTACTTTGGCAAAAACGTTTACAAATCTAAACTCGAGTTGTTTTTTTTTCCCGAACATTTTCCCCCTCCAATTAAATCTCAAAGACATCCAACCGTTTGCCTTTTTTTTTTTTTTACAAAAAAAACTCGCATAAAAGTCTGGCCTTTTACTGGCAGCTTGAACACTCACAGCTTAGCATTAAAGTAATCTCAAAAAGGTTACAAAACTTGATTCTCTCGTCGATTTATTATGTTCTATCTTATAAAGTATGCCAGAAAGATGATATGCTCTTTTTATTTTTTTTCTCTTAAGCAACAGAATATCAGTCGCCGAGCTCTTTCTTTCAAGTGCTATTATAAAAAAAGCAGCACTATATAGCGTATCTTGGCAGTTTCGATGATTCATTGTGTAAGTTCGCTGATTTGACATAGTGTAACGATACAAAGTAAATGCATATACTTGGAATGATACTGTTAGTTTTTACTTAATCATCTAAATAAACTTCGCTTTTAATACTCGGCGCGTTCATGAGCGGAGATTGCGCTTTTGATTTCTTTTATAATTAAAAAAATTCTTAATTTAATGTGCATTTGACGATAACTTAACTGTGATCCAACATATCGTCCGGTCATGAACGCGAACATCTAAACCTGTCTTCTATGAAAAATTCGCTTTATATACTTACGTGAGCATTTGTCGTAAATCTTTTTTTTTTTTTATTAAAGTTTATTATAATATATTGATTCTTTTGCATTTGTATAGTTTTTTTTTTGCGATCTTCTCGCCGCTAGGAAAAAAGGAATACTTAATATTAGCCTTATAAGTTTCATTCTCATTTCGTTCGTTCGTTCATTCTATCGCGGAGGGACGTTGAGCTTGTAAATGATAAAACACCATTCTGCAGTTCTTTTCAATAAAGAAGATCGCCGGTAGTCTCAGAGCCCCAAGCGCCTGCGTCCTGAGCCGGTCTCAAGTATTCCATTTCGCTTGCATTCTCGGTTTGCTCGGTTGTTGTTGTTGCAGCTGGGGTCGGAACCATCAGTATAGCCCTGGTGATACCAAGCTCGAAGCCTTCCGACGTCAGATCCACTTTGCTAGGAGTGTAACTGGCTAGTCCACCTCCACCTGCAGATAACAAGTGTCAAGTAGCACGGATGTATTTACTTTACTTCTAACTGTTTAACATATGTTTATTAATTAATTAACAAGATTATAAGATGAAACATTTTCTAAGATTATTAATGATATCTTTGAAGTGTTCTGTGATATAATATTGCCATTAATTATTTGATTACATTATCGTGTTATAATAGCAAAAATATTTTGTCAAGCTACAAACGGGTAGTTTAATCTTACCGAGAAGAGACGGCATATTCGTTGTCGAGCTTGGTGCTGAAGAGATTTTGTTGTTACTCGGCGTAGAATGTTGCTCGATTACGGAACTGGAAGTTTCGCCGTCCACGCTGCTGGTCTCGCCTTCGAGGATCGACGCTTCGCTCGGGTATTCGAAGGTACGTGTGGCGGTGTCGTCGAACTGTATTCGATGCTGAAATCACATAGGTTTAATTAATCCAACCGCTGCATAAACGAGGATAATACGAAACGATCTGTATGGAAATATCGTGCGCGTTAGCGGCGATAAATTAATTTATGTGTACGCGCTCAGGGGCATGAAGGATCGCTGTCGGGTGTGTGCAGAGGGTATTCGCATATGTAAACACGTGTTACGCAACCAACGCGGCGATTTATGTTCGCCTTTTGCGCCTTCAGCAGAACAGTTATACGTGGAAAAATTTTGCGAGGCGCGCTTCGTGTAATAAGCATTGCCGCGCGCGCGGGTACAAATGAGATACCGGGAGAACAAACAACGGCAACCGCATATAATGTAGCCTCGAATAACAGTAACTGGTCACACTCGATGCTTTTTCGACCTGCGAGCGGCAAGTGGGGACGATCGCCCATCCACCCGTTCGTCGTCATCGTCGTCGTCGACGTCGTCTTTGTTCGTCGTAACGCAAATCGTTAAGGGCGAAAGCACTATTGTCTCTTCTGTTTATGATTAAACGACAGTCGTTACATTAGGTCTGTTCTTTTTTGCACGATTTATTGTTCCTCTTTTTCTTTTCACTGTTGAAGACAGAAAGCGTAATGGTAAACTGTGCGAGAAATTTAGCAAAAAAGATATATTACGTAAGAGTTCAGAAGATGTAATTATTTATTTTTAGTTCAACTAAATAGAAGTATCTTTATTTTTATAAATATACGAATTTCCATTTCTTTTACGGCAAATTATGTTTTTTTAGAAAACTTGGAATTATTACACACAACAAACTTAATGCATCTCCATCGAAAGTTTCTTTTGTTACAAAATAATGTAATAAAATAATTTTTTGTTATTATTTAACATGTTCTACTACAATTTTAAGTGTTATCGGTGGTTCACGAAATGGCAAATAAAATGTGGATTACCATCACAGAAAGTGTTAAACAATAAATTATACAATTATACCTTTCTAAGACTTTTATATTCTATATAAAAACATTTTTAGAAATCATCTTTTAACTCTTTAAGTATACTGATAAAAATACAATATTTTTTTATTTGTGACATAAATATTAAACGAATATTATTTCCGACGATTATTTGATGTGAAGCCAAGATTTACATCAATCCGCGACTGGCTATGACTTAGCCTGACGGTCTGACGATAACAGTACCGGTGATTATTTCAACTAGGGATTGACTGCTCGCTTCGTGTAATTATATATATGCATCATTCTTTTTCTTCCCGAGGCGTCGTGAAACGTAAGACAAAAAAACCAAATCGACAGATCGATCTCGGACGTCTACAGTAATACGTTTCTTCGGGGTACGAGATTGTGAATTGTGCTCTCGTGATTAAAATCATCATTCACGCGTCGTCTTCTCTCTTCACCTTTTTTATGTTGCTGACAAGAATTCTCAAAGTGAACGAGCACCTAAGAGACGCGAAAAGTCACTTCAAGTCACGATACTGCGCTTTCTAGAGCGACGCTCCACTTTTTCGGGGTATTTCTAGTACTCCTCGTCACAAATTGTAATTAGCATTTTCTCACCGAGCGACAATCATGGACCGTTCCGGCTAGCTGGCTAAGTGGCATTAACAGCAAAACTTGAGGAACGAACGCGGGACTTTCCACAGTCATCTTCAGAGATATCCCCTTCCCTGCGACGAGTAAATTTAAATACTACGCTCCAATGCCTCGATTAGATTCAACTTGTCAGATTCAGATCTTTTATCGATCGTAGGAATTAATGTCGGTATTATTAAAATGATGATTGATTTTCTTGTACGATAAAATTGATAATAAAAGAGAGAAAGAATCGATAAATATTCGTGATAATCAAATCGCGTACAGAACAAACACGCTGATTCTCTTTTATGTATGCAACTGTCTAATCTAAGATAAGATATTTGAATTGTCGCTTTCGACCTTAAGATAAAATCGGATGTTGATTTCAATACACAGCGAATACGTGATTTGTATGTTCCATGATTACCCATGGTTCATTGTTGTGTGCTTTGTAATTACAATTTATTGTCTTGTATTTTTACGAATAAACCAAACAGATGTTAAATAAAATTCTTGAGGCTAAGAGTCTGAATATTTTAAATTAAATATAAAGTTAATTGTCATATCGCCTTTTGTACAACAATCACGAATATTGATAGAGATATATATATGTATCTGTTAAATTATCTGAAAATGATTAAAACAACAAAGAAGAATATTAAAGAGCTACAAAGATAAATATAGCGATTGATTTATAACTCTGATATTAAATTATCTTAATACTTTTTAATTAAAAAAAATATTCCATATCCTTATTATACAAGATATAATTAATTTTGGAATAAGTTAATTTTATAAAATTTTTACACAATATGTATTAATAAAATTAAGAGTATTAATAAAATTAACGAAAATCTATAATATTAAAAAATTTTGAAAAATATATTTATACAGAATATTTTGATCATTTCTCTGTAAGGCATAGAATTAGATATTTATTCATTTTTTTAGATACGTAACTTAAGACGCGTAGAAATAATAAATTTAGTCATTAATATATGTAAAATCGATTGACGTTTGCAATTATTCCAAAGACAGCTTGATGAATAGCATGAAAATCTCTATCTCTGACTTTATACACCAAGGATATTTCTCTTTTAGTAATATCCGCAGTAAAAAGTGTTATGCTTTTCTAACAGTGTTGCAAGAAAAGCTCGAAGCGTTCTACGACTGTTTTCTCTTCAAATTTGCGATCGTAGATCGTAGTGTCTTTTCAATCGCGAAAAGATGTTCAGGAAAAACGGAAATGGAAACGGTAAGAAGACTTTCTTTTCGCCAAGGAAATATTGTCGATAAACGTAGCGTGACGATTGACAAGGAGCAAATATCAAAATAGAAAGTCCCTGCACGACGCATATTAATAGGAACTCATATACACATAAAAAATCGGTGCTAAACTATTTTGAAAGATGCGTGTAAATTATTGCACAAAGTCATGTGCGTTCATTGGCGTAATCACTACATATTGCTTCTTTTACAAAGGATGCAGCAGATTATCTCAATGAAGCACGTTGCAATATTACGTGCTGCAATTGCCATCGTAAAATCTTAATGTATTTTGAAATTTCTTTAAGAAATATTTCAAAAAATAATAATGACTCTATAATATGAATAATAAATCTTTTGTTTCGCTATCTGTGGTGCGAGCTTTTAGATAAAAGATAAAAAAAGATAAAAGAAAGTGTTTCTAAATTTTTTTCAAAGTCATCCAGTACGCCTCTGATATATTAACTTCGTTTTAATGGTCCCGTTCCTCACAGATCCTGATATTTGTTCTATTTTCCTCCTTTCTAGCTATTTTCTTCTGCTGAAACTAATCTTTATTTTTCAAGATGTATCGGGCTATTTGTTATGATTATTTAGAGATCGGTTCTTACTAGCGAAGATTTATTTTGAGCTGTGTTTTTTGGTTCTCATTAGTAACTAATAAAGAATGCGCCTTCCACTTAACACACTATCGTACTGTAATCTTGTGTTCACCTGAAGTTTGGTCAAGAAAACATTTCTCTATATGCATTTCAAATATTATATCGTGTCAGAAATATTCGGTTACAGAAAGTATTTCTTGTGAAGAATGAACATATTTTACTATTCCATTTTACTCCCACGTCAAATTTCATTTTATACTCTTTATTATAAGTTTAACAGGTTTTGCTTCTTATGTATTATATAATATTATTTCTCATAATATTTTTTGTCTCATTATTGTTACGGATAATTAAGTAGAATTTTTCTGGAGAATATTTCACTCCCTTTCGAAATTGCATGACAAATGTTAAGAAATTCAGAAAAAAAATGCTACGCCATCAATGATCTAATATTTCAAAATTAATTTAGAAGATTCATTTGTACTCGATTCATCTGCATCAAATGATCTAATAATAAAATGATTAAGATATATAACGTGAGATAAAATTTTATATGAACATTCGTTATGTTTCATAGCACGTATCTTTCATACAGGTTTTGGAAAGTGAATGCTTGTGCGAAGTAAGCGGATAACTGTACGGAATCTACGCATAAACTCCGTGCAAGGAGAATATCAGCGTGACCTTTGAGACAGAAGGATACACGGCTTTTGCAGCAACCACGCTGCGAAATCACTCTTCCTGAAATACGAAGGCCGTTGCAGATAACGAAGGCACCAGGGAGAGAGAATTTATAGCCTCTAAGCGGCATATCCTGCCAGGATCCTCGTGCTCAAACCCACGTATCTCTCCGTAGGTTTTCCACGACAGTGTTAAATGGACGTGCATATAAGGGTCACGCCGCGCGGCAAAAACTGGATGCAGACGCATCCGTTATGTCCTAATAAAACGCGGGTAAACCGCGCGCGAGTTCTATTACGCACATCGTGTGTACGCGCTTCTGGTGCAATTTAAACGCGGCACCGCGCGATTACTCGATCGAGCGAGTTGAGCAACCTCGAAAGACTGTTATTGAAATGTGAAATTCGCCCAGTGAGACGGACGCAATCAATGAACCGATCACCGAATTTATAGATGCACTTCTGTATCTACAAGAATTATACGTTATCCTAAAAATGAGGATATGACACCTTTACTTTTCGATTATCGTATAATCATAAATTATTAGTAACTAGTACCGTTATAGAGTATAGTGATCGTAAATTAATGCCGTCACTTTGTTCATTAAAAAAAGAAGACAAATCATAAGAGTTCTCATTTACTATCTTGTTCATATTATCTTAGATTTAGATCTCTTTTTATACCCTGATGTATTTATCTTATAGCAATAGATCTTCTATTCATTACGCTGTCAGTAATGGACCTAACAACTTATCATTATCACATATTCAGACAATAATATTCAATAGATTATATTGTAATTGTAAATCGTGCTGCTCACATATCAAATATTGAGTGTAAGATAACGATTCCCACAGGGCGTTGCAGTTTCCTTTCAATATAA